ATCGGGTGGAGAGGGAGGTGGGAGGGGGGATCGGGATGGGGAATACATGTAACTCCATGGCTGATTCATGTCAATGTATGACAAAACCCACTACAATATTGTAAAGTAATTAGCCTCCAACTAATAAATGAAAAAAAATGAATTAAAAAAAAAAGAATCAGTATTATTTTTGTTTTTTTTCCTCCTTTTGTGATATCTTTGTATTCAAATTTTCAATCAACCTACTTCAATTTAATGGACCAAAAATTTCTCAATCAAATGGTTTAGAAATTGTGAGTTGAGAGTGAAATTCAAAAGCAAAAAAAAAAAAGCAGTTCTCTGCCAAGTATTCTAACAGCAAAGGCAAGAAAATGACCTTCAAAACTCTTCCGGCGATACCCTGCTCAATAAGTAGCAGTGGTCAAGACTGTGGATTGATATCAAACTCCCAAGTCACAATTTGCTTCACCTCCACCATACTGAGCTACTCAACATGACATGCACAACAGCATAATTGAGTCCTTGGCAATGCCCAGGCATCATTTCTGATCTTCTCCACTCTGCAGCTTTGTGAAGTCATAAGAGACAAGAGGGGAATGGATGTGGGCTACATCAACTTAGGGAAGCCATCATGAGATCTACCTATCTATAAGGTCTATCTGTCTATCACATTACTGATGACACGCCACTGGACACATATTTTGTAGCTTTATCTTTTCATTTACAGGTTACTTATCAATTAAAAGTTAATCATCAGAAACATATACTACTAAATAATTATGACAGCCAAAAATAGGTGATTGGTTTGATGCAAAGAAACTTATTAAGACTTTCTTGTATGTTTGATTCAGGATACATTCCATGATTTAGCCAAAGATCAAATTATTAGGTATAACTGAGGCAGAGGGAATATACTACAGGCCAATTGTTAAAATATATTTTTACTAGTTGTTTTTAAAAATAAGGTGTTGAAGGAGTGGCAGGTAGAGAATGATAAATATTCATTTCCCAGTTTTTCGGTCCTAATTTCCTTATATTCTTCTCTGATAGAATTACTTTATTTAGCTTATTGGGTAGTTTTCAAA